TTTCTTTCGGGTTCGCGAGCTCCTGCCGTCCGACTGGCCGAGCCGTGATGATGTCACTCCCGGGGTCACAGCACAGAGCTCTTAAGGAATGGCACGGGTATGCCATTTCTTCAGAGAGCATGTGCCGGCTCTCAAAAAGAGCTAATATCTCCTATCCGGTGCACGTTTAGGAGATATTCATTTTACCTACAGGTAAGCTTACCTGTAGGTAAAAGTATTAAAAAAGTGTTTACTACCACTTTAAAGGATACGTTTATCTTTGGAACATGTTACATTTCCACTCGTATTTAGGATGAAACGTGTAACATGTTCCACCCGCTGTCAGAATTTAAAAATAGCGCGATTGTGCAAGGCGCCACCCAAATGGCCACGTCATTTATTCACAGAGTTCTTGAATGAACAACAACTACCATTGGCTGCCAATGAACTGCAAAGGCATTAGTGAGCGCTTTCGCAGTTCATTGATCATTCTTGCCATTCAGTAACTGCCTGAGGTACCAACAGACAGTCTACTGAGAGTCTGCAGGATCCTGGCATTGTACCTGCAATCTGCTGATCGCAGGTGCAATGCTTTACAAGCTGCAATGCAAAAATATAATAAATGCACATTTTGTACCTGCAAAAATATGTACAATTACTATTTTTTTGTAAAATGTGAGCTAGCCTTTAATTAGTCAGCCTGCAAAGGCAATGCCCCCTTCCCCAGCAGCATATATTCACCTTTTTGTTCAGCCACCTGGAACACAAAATATACCTGGTACTTCCAGGTATGGAGGAGAATGTGATTTGTGGGAATGCTGGTGTTTGGTGGTTGGCCCAGTGCTGTCACATGGAGGCAGGGTCCAAAACTTTGTGTTAGCTCAAACTGACATGACTCACAGCTTACACTTGGATTTCTGTTTTTGCTCCCAGTGACTATATAGAGTGGGAGTGGAGTGTAGAAATGGTAAGTATGTGCAGCTGGGAAGGTGGGCATTAAAGTCAATCTCCTGTCTTTGTAAAAATGCACTTTAAGCTTATACTAAATGTATTTCCTGCATCTGCTAGGAGAGGGAGATGTACGCCTTCTTTAACGCATTATCTATTGACTGCACAACAGATGTCAGACAGAACAATCAGAAACCATAGTACTTGCATAGAGCTTGACAATGTATGGCTGCAATTAGTAAATCTAAAATAATATATTTTAAAATGATTGACCAAAAAAAACCTATTGGTACTAAATGTAATAAATAAAAACAGCATATTAAATCACTGTACGTTTATTTTAAATGCTTTCTATTTGCATTCATATGATCAGATTTTAGGGACATTCCTTCACCTACTCACTGTAACTGTGCTGCTGCAGGGGCCTTATGGATCCATTAATAATGATCACTTATGTGTTATTGATGTGTTTACTAAGTAATTGGAGTCTTGTGGGAGCTTCTAGTACATCATAGAAGCCAAGCGGACTCTTGCCACATCGTCCTTCTGATAATATTTTAGCATGTCATCTTCTGTTAGTTTTTTTCCTTCGAGCAGTCAGCTTGTGTTATTTCCGTATGGTAAATATGACCACACGGGAAACACCTTGCCAACATTTGCATAGATAATTGGGACGTATGAATGCGCATCAGTCGGGGTTCTAATGTAATGTGTTAAATGTCTCCTAATGTTAACATAAATTCATTTACAGCAGCTGTGTTTTCTGCCAGTGCCAATTAGAGACTTTGTCAGCAAATCATTATCTTGCTAATATAAACTTGTACTGCCTGTTACAAGGCTCAGAAATCAAACCTGGCATTTCTATAATTAAGGACATAACTGATAGACAACTGTGTATGTCAACTGGCTTTGGAACTCTAGCTATTAGTAATGTACAATTTCACCCTTTCAACCCTTGATTTACAATACTATTTATCTATAGAGTCTTAAGAGATTTAAATATCAAGTAAACATTTAAGTGCATTTTCATAGTATGGTAAACTGTGTTGCCTAAACAAATGGTTGACATCTATTTTGTGGACTGTTGATCTCTGGACTGTGGGAGGGATTTATTAAAAATGGAGCACTGAGAATCTGGTTCAGCTGTGTATGGTAGCCATTCAGCTTCTAAGTTCAGCTTGTTCAGTTAACCACTTGCCTACCAGGCACTTATACCCCCTTCCTTACCAGGCCAATTTTCAGCTTTCAGCGCTGCCGCACTTTGATTGACAATTGCGCGGTCATGCAACATTGTACCCATATGAAATTTTGATCATTTTTTTCTCACAAATAGAGCTTTCTTTTGGTGGTATTTAATCGCCACTGGGCGCTTTACTCTTTGCGCTATAAATTAAAAAAAGTGCAAAAAATTTGAAAAAAAAAAAAAAAAGTTTATTTGTTTCTTTTATAAAATTTTTCAAACAGGTATTTTTTCTCCTTCACTGATTTGCGTTGATGAGGCGGCACTGATGGGCACTGATAGGCGGCACTGATGGGCACTGATAGGCAGTACTAAAGGGCACTGATAGGCAGTACTAATGAGGTGGCACGGATAGGCGGCACTGATAGACAGCACTAATTAGGGGTCACGGATAGGCGGCACTGATATGCAGCACTGATAGGCGGCACTGATAGGTGACACTGATGATGGGTACTGATATACGGCACTGACTGGCATCACTTCTGGGCACTGACTGGCGGCACTGACTGGCACAACCCCTGGGCACTGACTGGTGGCACTGACTGGCAGCACTGGTGGGTGGCACTGGTGGGTGGCACTGGTGGGTGGGCACAGGTGGGTGGCACTGGTGGGCACAGGTGGGTGGCGCTGGTGGGCACAGGTGGGTGGGCACAGGTGGGTGGCACTGCTGGGCACATGTAGGTGGCACTGCTGGGCACAGGTAGGTGGCACTGCAGAGTGGCACAGGTGGGGGCACTGCTGGGCACAGGTGGGGGCACTGCTGGGCACAGGTGGGGGCACCGCTGGGAATGGGTGGGCGGGGCTAGTGGGCACAGCTGATCGGAACTTGCGGGGGTCACTGCTGGGCACCGATCATCAGGGCACTGATCATCAGTGCCCTGATGATCGGTGCCGATCCCCGCTCTGACAACTGCCGGTTCTCGGCAGTACTTTCCTCACGATCTGACAGCGTGAGGAAAGTGCAGCCGAGAACCGGCACTTGCATTTTCCTGTGATCAGCGTGTCATTGGACACCACTGATCACGTGGTAAAAGGCCGGTGGGATCGGCCTTTCACCACATCTCGTGATCAGCTGTGTCCGTAGGACACAGCGATCACGGAGATCGCCGGGTGCGCGCCCCCTGGGGCGCGCAGGAGAGCGCGTTCTGGGAGGACGTCATATGACGTCCACTCAGAACTGGCCGGCCGCGGTGAAGCCGTCATTCGGCTATGCGCGGTCGGCAAGTGGTTAAACATTGACAATAAAACCTGAACGCAGATTGGTTTCTGTGCAAAGCTGCACCAGATTTTGCACCATGCAGATTTGTAAATAGCCCCCTGTGTGTATTTTGGAATTATTTTGATTTTGCTTTTGCAAAAAACGATAGCTTACCTAAAGTATTCATTAAATCACCAATGTTGGTGAGTTGCCGAACAAAAGTTCATTTTTGTTGCTAATGAGCATTTTAAGGTTCATTGGGGGAATAAGTATTTGTTGTTTTCTGGTGAAAACAATGAAAAAAGTGGGCAAAACATGAGCAGATTATTGCACATTAAAGAGTACCCTTAAGGGAAAATTCACATTGCAATACACTATTTACCAATTCTTTCTCTCAGAGAAGTCATGTATCTTTCCCACCCCACAGTGGACTACAAGAAATAAATGACTGCTGAAGTTGTTTCCTTAGTCAACTCTTCTTTCTCAGCCAGTCTGGTAGTTGGACAAAATGCAGGAGAACATTAATGCAGTCATTCCTGTACTCCAATTCTGTTCCTGACAGCATTGTAAAGAGCAGTAGAGCCATTTTTTACTTACACTATGGGAGAATCTGCTACCAATATAACTGCAACTGTATGGAGGATCACTTGAGGCTTATATATTGACATATTTAGGTATTCGTAACAGCTGTATTTAAAGTGCATAGGACATGGCAACAAGGCTAAGCAACTCAACTATGCATGAAAACAAAAGGAACTTGGATGCAGAAAAATGGCAGCAGTTGCTCAGGACTGAAGAGTCAAAATTAGAAATATTTGACTGTAGCAAAAGGCAGTTTGTTCGCAAAGGGATGGAGAGCGGTACAATAATGAGGGTCTGCAGGCAACAGTGAGGCATAGTGAAGGTTCCTTGCAAGTGTGGGTTGCATTTCTGCAAATGGAATTGGAGATTTGGTCAGGATCAATGGTGTCCTCAGCGCTCAGAGATGCAGGCAAATACTTATTCATCATGACATACCATCAGGGAGGCATGTAATTGGCCCCAAATTCATTCTGCAGCAGGACAATGACCCCAAACGTACAGCCAATGGCATTAAGAACTATCTCCAGCGTAAAGAAGAACAAGGAGTTCTGGAAGTGATGGCCCTGGCAGATGCTGATCTCAGCATCATGGAGTCTGGGATTACATGAGGAGACAGAAGGATTTGAGGTAGCCTCCATCCACAGAAGATCTGTAGTTAGTTCTCCAAGATGTTTGGAATAACCTACCTTGCCGAGTTCCTTCAAAAACTGTTTGTACAAGCGCTGTGTGTACCCAGAGGAATTGAAGAATTGATGCTGTTTTGACTATTTGGATTTCTCTTCTGTTCATTTATTTTCCATTTTATTAATTGATAAAAATAAACTATCAACACTTCTGTTTCTGCAAGCATTCTTCATTTGCAGCATTTTTTCACACGTGATCACATTTGCATAGTACTGTACTGTATGTATATATATATCTATATATATATATATATATATATATATATATATATATATATAGATATATATAAAATAAATGTATTAAAGACACAAGATATACGTTTTTCTCTTATTTTCATGTTTTCCAATTTTACCCTTTAATATTTTTTAGGCTTAGCAAAGTTGCAAGCTATAAGGAATTACAATGGTTACCCATCACCCCCTATAAATGACGGTCCATCGCTCACTATACAGGTTGGCGATACCATAGAGCTGCTAAGGGCTGATGCTCACAGTTTATTCTGGCAGGTAGGCATTTCTATAATCTAGACAATTAAAATGATATATATGTGTATATATATAGTTTGTTGGATATACTATTTAAATATTACTTTATACCGTTGGACCATACTGTATTCTTTTCTTTACAAAGATTAGAAAATGTTAGAAACAGCAGCATGATATATACCAATAAATCTATGAGTACCTGTTAAAAGACTGAAAAATACAAATATCTGTGCTTGTGTTATAGAGGGTATAGTCATATTTGTTTTTTTTTTTTCTCTTGCAGGGAAGGAACATTGCCACAGGGGAGCTTGGCTTTTTCCCAAGTGATGCTGTTAAACCAAGTCCATGTGTAAGTGTAACAATCTGTACATATTTTTAAAGGTTTAAAGACAGGGACATGCACTGAGATAAGGTTTGGAGCAGGAAAATAGACAATCTTCAGCTTAACTTTGTAATACATTTTAGTTTGTGCTACGGAAATATATCTTTTGGCTTTTTTGTGTCTTCCAGCATCTGAAAATCCTAACACACTTATTCATTTGCTAAAACACAACTGAATTATACAGACGTTTGGGATCTTTATTGCCTTTTTATAAGACAGTAGCCCATCTATACTTTATTGTCCAGCAGATGTCAGAACCAGCTTACAGGGGATTTTCATGTTTAATAAAAAAGTGGATAACGATAGTTGGAAATTATATCCAGCAGAAGGCCTTTAAAGCTGATCTTAGGCAGAGCTGGTTTGCTGGTTTCCTCCCTAATATATTGTTCCCAGTCTGTGGCCCTGGTGCTGTCTTGTGCATTGTTGCACAATCCTTAAAATGAAGAAATTAATGTTCACCCTCAGTGTACAATCCATAGGGGGAGATTTACTAAAACTTGTAGCACTGAGACGCTGGTGCAGCTGTGCATGGTAGCCAATCAGCTTCTAACTTCAGCTTATAATAAAATCTGGAAGCTGTTTGGTCTCTATGCAGAGCTGCACCAGGTTTTGCACTCTCTGTTTTAGTAAATATCCCCCATAGAATATCTCAGCATCTATTAACAAAGCTTAGACATTTAATATGTATTTAAAAAGGCACTTCCACTACCCTAACTGATGGGGCAATTTGGAATTGAGCATGGTGCTAACTCCTATATTATATCAATCCCCCTATTTTCTTCTAGCCTTGCTATGTGATTCAAGACCCAGTGGGTTGCTACCCTTCTAAAGACATCTGGGTGGCCATTGAGAAGTCCCTGTTTTGTGTGCCTGCAACAGTAAACCTTTTTTATGCACAATTCTGCATGGAATGAGCATGCGGTCATATATTCACCTGTTGCACATACTGACTGTCAGAAACATTGGAAAGAGACTTGAAACTGGTGACAATAGCAAGTGATAATTATAGATTAGCTATCTGTATTAATTTTGTCTTGTCCTTTAAAACTGTAAAACTTAAAGCAGCAATATTTTTGTGATTTCTGCTGGGCATTTAATATTAGCACAACAGTCCCTATTGCTATATTTTTAAAATATACTATAAATGCTTAGCAGTTAGATAGCTTTTTTTTTTTTTTACTAAAATAGCTCTTTTACCAGAAGATATTTTAAATAGATTGTCAAGTCATTCTAAAGGTCCCTGCAAATTTACTGAAAGCTTGAGTGCACCCTAATGTGCTATGTTCCAGGTGTCACTTGTTGCTCATAAGCCCGTTCAGGTAGCTATAATGTCTAGAGTCATACATATTAACTTGTTTTCAGATGACTTGCTAATTAAATACAGCCTTATTTTTGTGCTTGAGAAAACTTGTATGAGATGCATTTACAAAATTAAATTTATGTTGGGTTTATGATAGAATCCAGCTTTCACTGGATGTTCATCTATACATTGTACTACCGATGAATTGTCATGTGCTGTGCTGTGATTAAATCATGGATGAGCCCGCTATGTGCTTCTCACAGATTCCTTTTTTTTTGTCTCCTGGCAGGTTCCAAAGCCTGTGGATTACTCTGGACAGCCATGGTGCGTATTTTAAAATGCATTTTTTAGTTTATGTGTGTGTGGAATGCAATAATCTTCAGGGTGGTCAGCACAAAAGAAAAAGCTAATGTAGTAATAGCAAAAACCTCTCTTTTTTTTAATTCACCAAAAATTTGTATCAAGTTATAGGCTAGTCCACACAAAAAGATATTTTATATTCTGGTGGCTGTCATTGAGCTGAATCATTCACATCTTCTTATATCATAGGTGGATTCCAGTGATGTATTTTTGTAATATAAATATTAAATACATATTAAAGTGGATCTGTAGTCAGAAAGTTAAGTCTTGCTAGATCACTTCAGGCTGGCCTCTTATGTAGATATTGTGCCTACATAAATAAGTTCCTATACTGTTTCAAATCCAATGATACACTGTCTCACCCTGCTCTGCACATACTCAGTTGCTCTCCATTTTTAAGCTCTGTGCTGAGATTGTAGAGGTTGATCTGCTGACAATCTAAATCTTAAAGCAGAACTAACAGGAATGCTAACTCACATTTGCTAGTGTTCTCAACCAAACTGCCAAACCATCAAATGACTGGTGTTATAACTGATTATATGTGCAGCACCCAGGGGCGGACTGACAACTCATGGGGCCACCGGGCAATAGGGGATCATGGGGCCCCTGTGTCCTTGCCCAAACTCAAAAAAGCCTATGAAAAAGGTACCAGGTTCATCTCATGGGGCCCCCTACTGACCCTGGGCCCTCGGGCAATGCCCGAGTTTCCAAATGGTCAGTCCGCCTCTGGCAGCACCATGGCAGTTGCAGATCAAACAGATGGCAGCTTCCTTTGCTGAAAAGGCTAAGAGGATTTAGATCTGCTTTAACTGCTGCTCAGGGCTCTGTGCTTCAACAAAATGGCAGCCTCCAGCAAGAAGTAACAGGAGCAATGCTGGAGGCAATTTACAGCACACACTAATTTTGGTAGCATAATTATTAATGTGGATTGCATGTTCCTTGCTAAAGAACATTATTTTTTATCAATTGTTATGAGTAAATTTCCACTTTAAGTCCTGTTATATCATTTCAGGCTAACCCCTTTTTTCAGGTATAGCGTTGTAAAACGTTACAAAATAAGTGTCTATACTGTTTAAAATCCAGTAATACCCTGTCCCACCTGGTCTGCACGAGCACAGTTATTTTTTTTTGGCACTGTGACAAAAACCAGAGTCACTAGAGGCTGATATGCTGGCAGCATAATTATTTACTACTGCTCTGCTCAGGGGCTTTGGGCTTCAGCAAAATGGCAGCCTCCAGCGAGACATAAACAGGAATAATTGTGGAGGCACACACTAATTTTGGTAGCATAATTATTAATGCAGAATGTACAGTTGCAAGAAAAAGTATGTGAACCCCTTGGGATTACGTGGAGTTTTGCATGAATTGGGCATAAAATGTGCTCTGAACGTCATCTAAGTCACAACAATAGAAGAACACAGTCTGCTGAACATAATACTACACAAACATTAGATGTTGCCATGGTTTAATTGCACATAACATGTAAACATTCACAGTGCAGGGAGGAAAAAGTATGTGAGGTCCTAGCTTAATGACTTCTCCCAGAGCTAATTGGAGCCAGGAGTGAGCCAACCTTGACTCCGATCAGTGTGATGATATTGGATGTGTTGCTGACAGATGTCCTGCCCTTAAAAAACACACACCTGTTTTGGGTTTACTGGTTTCAAGAAGCACTGGCTGATGTGAACCATGCCTCGCAGAAAAGAGCTCTCAGAAGACCTACGATCAAGAATTGTTGACTTGCATGAAGCTGGAAAGGGTTACAAAAGTATCTCCAAAAGCCTTGATGTTCATGTGTCCACGGTAAGACAGACTGTCTACAAATGGAGAAAGTTTAGCACTGTTGCTACTCTCCCTAGGCGTGGTCATCCTGTAAAAATTACTGCAAGAGCACAGCGCAGAATGCTGCATGAGGTAAAGAAGAATCCCAGAGTGTCAGCTAAAGACCTACAGAAATCTCTGGCACATGCTAACATTTTTGTTGACACATCTACAATAAGGAAAACATTAAACAAGAATGGAGTACATGGGAGGACACCATGGAGGAAGCCATTGCTGTCCAAAAAGAATATTGCAGCACGTTTGAAGTTTGCAAAAGAGCACCTGGATGTTCCACAGCACTACTGGCAAAATATACTGTGGACAGATGAAACCAAGATTGAGTTGTTTGGGAAGAACACACAACACTATGCGTGGAGAAAAAAAGGCACAGCACACCAACATCAAAACCTCATCCCCACTGTAAAACATGGCGGAGGGAGCATCAAGGTTTGGGGCTGCTTTGCTGCCTCAGGGCCTGGACGGATTGTTGTCATTGATGGGAAAATGAATTCCAGAGTTTATCAAGACATTTTGCAGGAAAACGTACGACCATCTGTCCGCCAACTGAAATTTCGCAGAGGATGGGTGATGTAACAGGACAATGACCCAAAGCATACAAGTAATTCAACAAAACAATGGCTGCAACAGCACAGAATACGCCTTCTGGAGTGGCCCAGTCAGAGCCCTGAAATGCTGTGGCATGACCTTAAGAGAGCGATTCACACCAGACATCCCAAGAATATTGCTACACTGAAACAGTTTTGTGAAGAGGAGTGGTCCAAAATGACTCCAGATCGTTGTGCAGGTCTGATCTGCAACTACAGGAAACGTTTGGTTGAGGTTATTGCTGCCAAAGGAGGGTCAACCAGTTATTAAGTCCAAAGGTTCACATACTTTTTCCTCTCTGCACTGTAAATGTTTACATGTGCAATTAAACCATGGCAAATATCTAATGTTTGTGTAGTATTATGTTCAGCAGACTGTGTTCTTCTATTGTTGTGACTTAGATGATGTTCAGAGCACATTTTTTGCCCAATTCATGCAAAACTCCACGTAATCCCAAGGGGTTCACATACTTTTTCTTGCAACTGTATGTTCCTTGCTAAAGAACATTATTTTTTATCAAGTTGTTATGAGTAAAGTTCCGCTACTAATCCTCCCAACTACTACAGTGACTGCTACATACTGTAATTATTGTTACAATTGTAAAATACTGTGAAATAAGTTGGTAACCTAGAATTGAGAGAAACATTAAACGTTTGTGGTGGGATGGAGATGTTAAAGTGATTCTAAAGACTTATGTTTTTAAAGAAAAAATGACAAACATGTCTATACTTACCTGCTGTGTGCAGTGGTTTTGCACAGAGAAGCCTGGATCCTCCTCTTCTCGGGACCCCTGCAGGCTCTCCTAGTCCCTCCTTTCTGTTGGGTGCCCCCACAGCAAGCAGCTTGCTATGGGCCCCCACTGTTTGGGGTGTCCATTCACACATGGAGCCGTGGCTCAGCCCCTCTCCCCTCTCTTCTCATTGGCTGACTGGCTGTGATTGACATAGTGGGAGCCAATGGCTTAGGTGAGTATTGGGGGGCTGGGGAGGGGATGCTGCACAGAGAAGGTTTTTACTTTCATGCATGAAGGTAAAAAACCTTAAGCCTTTAGAACCACTTTATAGCTGAAGATTAATTTGCTTATATTTTGCCTTCCCTGGTTCCTCCATTCCCCTTGATCAACACAGTAATGGAAAAATTAAATCTTTTCTGTTTTCACTGCATGGCTTATTTTAGAACCAGGGACATCATCACTAACCTTTGTGCTTCCTTATGCAATGTAGGCAGATCATAGCTGGTGGGAGAAGCCAGTAGAGAGCTGTAAATTGTTTCCTGAAAACAGATAGCTCTGGCAATGTCCACACATGATGCTGGCCATCTGTGATTGAAAGAAATGAAAACCAATTAATTAAAGTGGGTAGAAAAGTGTCTTGGAGGCAGAGAGTTTTCTTTTGTTCCCTATCCTGTAATGGCCAAACAAGAAATCGAGGATGTTGTTGCAGAAGACACGGACAGCAATAAAAACACTATCAGAAGTTTTATCTCTTCCAGTTTCTACTAAAATGTGTTTTGCTTTAGTCAGTATTACCATGTGAGAGGTTTACCATCACTTAGGGGTCTATTTGTAAAAAATTGCTGTGATAATATCTCAAGCATTCACTCAGCCCTCATAAATAATTTGTATTTTGACTAATACATTTATTTCCTATGATCAGAAGCTCTGTCTAGTGGCCATTATGTGGCATACCTGGAAAATGACTGCATTATGGCCAATAGATGAATCTGATGATCATAGGAGATAAAGTATTAGGCAAAAAGAGGGATTATTTGAGACAGTTGAGTGAATGTTTGAGATAGTCGCACAGCAGATTTTTTGAAAATAGACTCCTTAATGTCATGATGGGAAGTCAGGGAAATTTTGCACAATGAAATATGACATAAAAATATAACAAAAAAAACAATAAAATATAACATAGGCTGTAACCAGTAGTGTATTTAGGATTTGTGCTGCCCTAGGCAACACAAAAATCCCCCCCCACAGAGAGAGACTCACATTGACCAACAACACCCCTATCCACCCCCCACCTGAGAGAGCCTTCCATTAACACCCCTCCCCCTAGCGAGAGAGAGAAAGACACTCACCTTAACAGCTCTGGACATCCCCGGGAACAAGAGTCAGGCTCTGCATACACCATCAAGCAGCCTGCAAACTCCCGGATCCACCTGGTCCCTATGCTGCATGTGTCCCTTCTTCAGGCCCTTCTTCCCGGGGAGCGGTGCTGCCCCCCCCCCCTGAAAAATGCCACCCAAGGCAAATGCCTTGTTTGCCTTGTGGTAAATGCAGCCCTGGCTGTAACCCTTTTCCATTCTAACCAAAATAAAATGTTACTGTTAGTGGGACATGAACCAACACTTTCATTATCTAATTGTGTTTAAATTCCCCTGCACATGATTTGCTGTTAAAATGAACACAGACCATTTCAATTTACTTTATCTCACTTTATGTTAGAATGCGAAGCCCCAGAGGAACACAGTGAGCGATTCAATCCATCTCCATTCACAGAAAACCAAAACATGAAATTAGGATGGATTTAAGATTTAAAGGTTTGCATGAAAGGATTATAGTTTGTTAATAATTTGTTAAACTGTTTGAAATCTTGCCTCCCCAGGTACGCAGGTGCTATGGAGAGACTGCAGGCTGAGAGTGAATTAATAAACCGAGAGAACTGCACCTACCTCATCCGACACAGAACGAAGGAGAGCGGAGAGTATGCAATCAGTATTAAGTAAGTCACGTGGACATGGGGACACAAATTGTAAACTTTTTTTTATCATTAACCACTTAACATTCACCTTATAGCAGTTTTTCTGCTACAGGGCAGCATTCCTGTGCAAAATCACGTATATATACTTTAAAATTTATATTTTGTACTTCCGCCACATGGGATGCATGCACCACCAGAGGATCCCTTCTGCTGTGACATTTTACACCACAAACCAATCTAAAAGCCCTGGGGAGTAAATACTTCCCAACACCTGCAGATCATCAGTCAGTGAGGAGTAAAAACAGAACTTTATGTATGTTTACATACATACAGTTCTGTTGTGACAGGGGAGTCATGAATCATGTGTCTCTGCAGAGCTGAGAACATGATCCATCACTTCCCATAGTAAAAACACCACCTAGTGTACACCAAGCACATAGCTAGGCACACACCTAACCCTTTAAGCACCCTGGATGTTAACCTCTTCCCAGCCAGTGTCATTAGTACAGTGATTAGTGTATATTGTTAGCACTGCTCACTGTATTAGTGTCAATGGTTCCCACAAACTGTCAGTTAGTGTAAAAATGTTCGCCGCGAATATTGTAGTCCTGCTATAAGTCACTGATTTCTGCCATTACTAGTTTAAATTTTTTTTTAAAAAGTCCAGTTTATGTACCATGTTTGTTGACTTGCGCAAACTAATCAATATACAATTATTGTGATTTTTTTAAATAAAAATATGTAGAGAATACATTTTGGCCTACATTTATAAAGAAATTTGATTTTTAACATTGTTTTATTGGATCTGTTTCATAACAGAAAATATATATATATATATATTTCTTTTTTCAAAATTGTTAGTCTTTTTTTTGTTTATAGCACAAAAAGTAAAAGTCGCAGAGGTGATCAAATACCACCAAAAGAAATCTCTGTTTGTGGGGAAAAAAGGTCATACATTTAATTTGGGTATAGCATTGCATGACCGCGCACTTGTCAAAGTAATGTAGCGCCATATCGCAAAAAAATGGCTTGGTCAGGAAGAGGGGGTTAAATCTTCTGGAGGGCAAGTGGCTAAAGCAGTAAATCAAACATTTATTATATTGCAGGTTACCAAATCTTAGATGTAATGGCTACATTAGTGTCCTTTTTTAGACTTTATTTCTTCTATTTTCATCTGGTGATTCAGCCAGCAAGTCTGCTGTATTTCAGAAGCTCAAGCTCTCCAGCAGAATGTATCAGTTTTCATGGATGAAACCATCCATTTACTGCTGATGAGTGAAATGATCAGCTTTTATTTATTCATGTAAAACCTTTATCCCAAAAGGGAAAAAATACCTGTTTGCTGTAACTGATTATATTTGGCTTCAATGTGTTATTGTATTAAAATCTGCTAATATATTTAACAATCCCATCCCCCCCAGACTGACAATGTTGCTGTATGCTGTGACCTGTTCTCATTCATCCACAGTGGTGTCTCTCTGATACAGGAGGTGTGTTTACTGGCCAGATCACCAGGTGGAAACAGAGGGAAAAATCCTAAAAAAAGCAAACTAATGCAGCCATCACATCTGATGATAAGCTGCAATTTAATACATCTTTGGTTTTGGGCTTAATACAGCTTTAAGGTTAAATTTAAGCTTAAAAATATTTTTTTCTTGATCATAATGGGACACAGGTTCAGTGACTATTAGGTTATATTGCCACCTACAGGAGGATTTGGACACTGGCAAATAAAAGCAATAGCTAGCCTGGTATTGTTCCTCTTACTCCCAGCATTCCTCAGTGTCCTAGGAGAATAGACATTTTTTTTTCTACAGAGAAAATTTTACCAGTTTTTATTGCTAAATATTTTTACTGCATTCAAATCTGTTTTTTCTTCAGTTACTCAATCCAGATCCTCGGCATATCTCCAGCAATAGCTTTGGAGGCTGTGCCACTGGTCTAGACGTTTGTAAAACTGGCCTGGAATGTGACCTTTGAGCACTGGGCTCTGCTTTATGGCAGTTTTGAGAATTGAGTGTACTGTGTTAGCCACAGAGCATTTTCCAGGTTGAGAGCCATGGCCCAGTCTCTGGTGTAATACTCTCTCTAAAGAATAATTTTGTGCATATTCTGTTTGGGTTGAGAATTGGAAACTGTTTCAGTAAAGTGGTAGTAAAGGAATAAATGTAAAAAAAAATAATTACAAGCATGTCTATGTTTGCTTGCTCTGTGCAATAGAAGGGGGTATTCTGTTACATATATATGTTTTTTTATCTTATGCATAGAATGCACTAAGGTAAAAAGCCTTGATGCTTTAATACCACGTTAATAAAACTGGATGTGGACGTGGTATACTTGGATTTTGCAAAAGCGTTTGACACAGTTCCCCACACATGGCTAATGTGTAAGGTGAAGTCTACAGGCTTGGAAAAATCCATATGTAAATGGATAGAAAACTGGCTAAAAGATTGTATTCAAAGAGTAGTGGTAATGATTCATACTCTGAATGGTCTAGGGTTGTCAGTGGTGTACCCCAAGATTCAGTGTTGGGACCCTTACTTTTTAATATATTTATAAACAATATAGGGTATGGGATTAAAAATATAATTTCAGTCTTTGCAGATGACATCAAACTGTGCAGTGGAATAACGTCCTTACAGGATGTCTTCAATTTGCAAGCTGACCTCAATGCACTGTTTAATTGGGCAACTATGTGGCAAATGAGGTTTAATGTTGATCAATGTAAGGTTTTGCATTTGGGGACTAAGAATATGCATGCACCATACATACTAGGGGGAGTACAACTGGGGGAATCAATGGTGGAGAAGGATCTGGGAGTTCCGGCAGATCACAAGCTTAATAATGGCATGCAATGCCAAGCGGAGGTTTCTAAAGCGAGCTAAATCCTCTCTTGTATTAAAAGACTCCAGAGAGAGAGATATCATTTTACCCCTGTATATATCATTAGTAATACCTCATCTGGAATATGCAGTTCAGTTTTGGGCACCAATTCACAAAAAGAACATTGGGGAACTGGAGAAAGTACAGAGAAGGGCAACCAAACTGATAAGAGGCATGGAGGAGCTCAGCTATGAGGAAAGATTAGAGGAAATGAATTTATTCTCTCTTGAGAAGAGGAGATTAAGCGGGGATATGATCAACATGTATAAATACATCAGTGGTTCATATAGTGAACTCGTTGTAGAGTTATTCACCCTGAGGTCATCACATGGGACAAGGGGGCCCTCTGGAGGAAAAGAAATTTAATCTCCAAACACAGAAAGGTTTCTTCACAGTGAGAGCTGTGAAAATGCGGAATAGACTCCCTCAAGAATTGGTTCTGGCCAGCTCAGTGGATTGCTTTAAAAAAGGTCTGGATTCTTTCCTAGATACACAGAATATAACTGGATACTAACATTTATAGGTAAAGTTGATCCAGGGAATATCCGATTGCCTCTCGGGGAATCAGGAAGGAATCTTTTCCCCAGCAGGAGCAAATTGGATCATGCTTTGCTGGGGTTTTTTTGCCTTCCTCTGGATCAACTGTGGGTATAGGATTATAACTTTTTTTTTTTTAATGGTTGAACTGGATGGACTTTTGTCTTTTTTCAGCCAGACTAACTATGTAACTCATTATTATGTCTATTTTTCCATTGGTTTACAGAAATGGTTATCAGTGAGTGACTCATCATTGCATCACTAGGTGAAGTGACTCTGTTCTCTTGTTTCCATTATTCATTGGTCCTAACCCGGGTGCTTTTCACTGTAGTTATGCAGGATTTTATGGACCAAATTGCAAGCTTGATTTCTGACTCTGTCTGCAGAGGCTAAAAGTACAAGTCTTTACTTCACCCTGCAGAATTATTACCCGCTCCCTCCCCTGCCCCCTAAAGGTGCCAATCCTTAATGGGGAGCGGGGGAGCAGTCCTTAAAGCGGAACTTCCCCTTTTGGGTGGAACTCCGCTTTAATTGTGTTTTTACATGTGACTAGAGTTGGAGTGTGGTTGCTTCCACACTACAATGTTTGCAAAGCCTGTTGGACTTTCTATTAAGAAAGCCCAGAACTGCCTCTGCACTTGTTAACTGCTCCTGTAAATTAGAAATCCAGATGGCTACTGTTTTTACTAGAAGATAGGGAGGTGTATCCTTTCTTAATCAGCTGTGCAATCTAATATCCATATATTTTTGTTCACCACAAAGGCAGTTCAGAGGATTTACAGAATATTAGCAAATTACCAATTTAAAAATCTAAATTACTAGATATATACTCTCCACCTGAGAAACTGTATATGCAATGTTAAAAATAGCAAGTGTCATTTTTATAGTCCTGAATATTACAAATAAACAAAATACATGTAAAAATGCTAACAGCTTGGTTGCACACCATTATTTTGAAATTGTCAGCTGATTTAACACTGTTCATCTTTATTAAATGCACCAAACATGAAGTTAAAAGACTGTTTTTAAACATTGGGGTTCCACATAGAACACTGCTGTACTGGGAATGAGAGAAAGAAGAGGAAACCGTAAAAGCGGTAAAATTGCAAATTTTATTCAAATTGTGCTTGAAAACATGATGTGTGTTAACATCTTAACTGATCTGAAGAATAGAGGGACAAAATGTCAATTTGAACCTTTGTATGACCACAACTTCTACTCAGTAATGCAAAGTATGACATTATACTGTATGCAAATGAATTTGCAAAAAAATAAGTTGCTGTATAACAAGCAAGTAAAGTAGCAGACTGGGCATAACAGATAGGTAGGTATGAATATGCACAGATTTCCCATAATTAGTTCCATGTTGTCAGATCACAAAGTTTATGCAAGATATACAGTATATTCCAAGTCTTAATTGTATTAAATGCTTCCATTTTGTTATGCAGTATAGCCAATCTACAGTATGTTACAGCATCCCAGTGTGCTATATTCAGGTAAGTAGCTGAGTTGAATAAGGAAGACAGTTTTTCCCAGTTAAGCGCATTTAAACAAAAAGCAGCTGTCAAAACGTGATTCACCAACTTCTGAGTGCGTTTCAT